GCGCCGCTAGGCGGAGGATTAGCCTAGTGAGCCGCAGCGCCGGCCCCTTTGCTAATTTTTGACTGTTGTCCTTGCCTCTGCCTTCATATCCCTCCCCAGTCCAACCCGGAAATCAGCAAGATCCCATCATATCCCCTCAGTTTATGACTCCACAGTCTCCAGCGTTAGATCTAACTTTTTAATATGGCACATTCATGTCCTCCATATTAACGATAATGCAAATACAGTAACATCACCAACAAGCACTGAAAACGTATTGAGCACTTATTATATGCTGTTATAAGTACCTAAATGCATTATCTCATTTTAATCCTCACAACCACCCTTTGGGATAGTAAATATTTTTAAAGAAAAGTTTATTTATTTGAAAGGCAGATCCCCCCCCCCCCATAGAATCTTCCATCTACTTGTTTATTCCTCATATGGCTGCAAGAGCTGGGATTGGGCCAGGATGAAGTCAGGAGCCAAGAACCCCACCTGGGGCTCCTATGTGCATGGCAGGAACTCAAATAACTCAGTCATCATCAGTTGTTTCCCAGGAGCTTTAGAAGGGAGCTGGACTGGAAGCAGAGTAGCTGGGACTCTAATACTCATTTGATAGAGGATGCAAGTGTCCCAAACGATGGTTTAATCTGCTGTGCCACAGCGCCAAGCCCTGAGGGAGTAACTATTATCACCCCCTTTCAGAGAAGAAAGAGAGGTGCAGCTCCCCACCTGACCTGGGCCCCCTGGTCAATCTCTCCTGGAAGGTACTTCAGCCGCTCCTATCTACTTCTGTCATGTGCTCCTCTGTAGACTTTTGCAGCTTAGTTGGCACTGCCCTGTCTGGCCCCTGTTGTTTGTTGGGTGTATGATAATTTATGGTTTTAGATCCTGTTCAGAAAAGGCCAAAACTAGAATGTTACTTTACAGGGGGCACTACTCGCAGTAGCAGCTTTCTAAATGGGCATTGGTTCATGTCCCAGCTGTTCCACTTCTGATCCAGCTCCCTGCTAATGGCCTGGGAAAAGCAGCAGCAGATGGCCTTTCAAATAAATAAATAGGGTCTGGTGCTGTGGCGTAGCGGATAAAGCCACCGCCTGCCGTGCTGGCATCCCACAAAGGCACCGGTTCAAGTCCTGGCTGCTCCTCTTCTGATCCAGCTCTCTGCTATGGACTGGGAAAGCTGGAGAAGATGGTCCAGGTCCTTGGGCCTCTATACCCACATGGGAGACCGGAAAGAAGCTCCTAGCTCTTGGCTTCAGATCGGCGCAGCTCCAGCCGTTGTGGCCTACTGGGGTGTGAACCAGCAGATGAAAGACCTCTCTCTCTTTCTGTGTAACTCTGAACTTTCAAATAAATAAATAAATCTTTAAAAAAATAAATAAATTTTAAAAAAGGAAGTATAGTTTCATGGTTTACAAGCTGAGCTGCTCCCCTCACTAATGGATCAATACCAGAATTTTTATGAAATTGAAATAGAAAAAAAAAAAATAAGAGGGAGAGCAGAGAGTAAGACTATGTATGTATTGTTTCGAAGGTAAATATTGTTTTGTGAAACCTGTATATCTTAGGGACCAAAGTCAAATGAATTTCTTACTAGGGATAAAAGTCTCTGCCACCAAGCCACTCCCCATACCAGTAGCCAGCGTGAAGTCTTTATGGCCCTGATTATGTTAGTTTCCTACTGTCTAAAGAACTGTGTATTCACTTATTTTCATTTTGTTTGAAAGGCAGAAAGAGACAGACAGAGGAAGGTCTTCTACTTGCTGGCTCATTCCTCAAATGCCCACAACAGCTGGGGCTGGGAGCTTAGAACTCAATCTGTCTTCCGTGTGGGTAGCAGGGACCCACATGAGCTGCCATCTGCTACTTCCCAAGGTGAGCACCAGCAGAAGCTGAAATTGTAAGCAGAGGAGCCAGGATTCAAACCAAGCACTTTGATATGGGGATGCAGGCATCTCAAGCAGCATCTTAACCACTATGCCAATGCCCCAGCCAATCTCCTACTTAAAAAAAAAAAAAAAAACAAAAACAAACAAATAAACAAAAAGATCTTCCATTTGCTGGTTTATTAACCAAATGCCTGCAACAGCCAGGGCTGGACCAGGCCAAAGCCAGGAGCCAAGAACTCAACCCAGGTCTCTCATCTGAGTGGTGGGGACTCAAGTACTTGGGCCATCTTCTGCTGCTTTCCCAGGCGTAGTGGCAGGAAGCCAGACCAGAAGCAGAACAGCCAATGGACTCAAAAATTTGCAAGCCAATAGGGTATGCCTGCTATGGAATGCCTGTGTAGCAGGAGATGCCTTGACCCGCAAAGCCACAACACCAGCCCCATACATATTATAATTGGGGAAATAGAGCATTTAGGTAGCAGTTCAAAGTCAAATGAAAACACTAAGGGGCAGAGCCACACTGGAACTTGTTATTCAAATACCACACTAGCACCTGTAGCACTGTATTTTCATTTTTATCTACACATTTGCCACTCTCTCCCAGAATCCACTTTTTGGAGGCAGGAACCAAGGCAGAGGCACACAGTACAGCCTTAGTAAATACATTTGCCAAATGAAGAGAGCTGAGGAAAGGCGAGAGCATCTCATAACATCATAAAATAACCTCGTTGGAAGGGACCCCTCTTTTCCAGGGTAGGAATTTTTTCACATTCCCAGCTATCTACAGCTCATCCTCTCATCCGTCAACTCACAGCAGTTGCATTAGATTCTGTAAGCACTCATTAGGCATCTACTATACACGGGGAAGACGCAAACACGACTCAAGGCAGGGGATTTGGTGGGATGGCTGTGATGAGAGGCAGAGTGAAATGTGGTTGTAACCAGGCCATTCTCAAGGTATGAAGCATGAGCTACCAGGAGCCCAGAGCAAGAAGCAACTAATTCCCAAGAGGAGGATGAGGACTGATTTCACAGCACTGTAGCCTGGTCTGAAAGGCTGCATGGTGAAGGTGGCCCCAAGCCAGTCTCCTCCACCTGGTGGGAGTGGCATGACAACAGAACCTACTTCTGCCTGCTGGAGAGACACCATGAGTCTTCTTCAGTGATAACTACCTCATCCTCTCTCATTTTTCAAGTCAAACATGTCTCAGATTCGTTGACAGAATATGAAGCCCACACAGAGACTTTTCCTCCTCCCCCACATACTAAAAAATGTTCTCTCCTTCAAGGCCAAGGTCAACATCACTTTCTCCTTCACATTCCTCATAATTACAGGGGACTGGCTTTTTTTTTTTTTGTATAAAAACACAAGCTCATACAGTAAAAACTACCTTTGAGAATCCCTAATTCATCGGTAATGGATAGCATACGTGGTTTTCTGTATGCAATCCAAAATGGACAGGTTCTCTCCAGCACTGAAACACGCTGTGCACCTTGGTTCAGAAGTGACAAAGACTCCTTGACTAAACTTCAGCCAGGCTCCTCTGAGCTCTCTTCGCAAGGCCTTGCCCTTGGCTCCCTATACCCTTTAGTCTTAGGCCTGTCTAGCTCAGTGTTTAGCAAGAGGATGCTTCCTCTTACTAATATTCTACATTAGAATATCGGCTAGAAGTCCTCGGGTATCTTTGCTGTACTGAGTTGAGTTCGAGCTCCCTCCTCTAAATGAAGCAGTCCTATTACAACAGTATTCAATAAAGTCCTCCTTACCATTTTAACAAGTATCAGAATAACTTTTTCAACAACAGTGGCTGATGTGTTCAGAGCTATGCTGTGCTCTGTGGACACTAAGTGGTGAGTGTGTGTACATGGAGCATTGACAGGATGTGCTCCAACACTAAGTGCTCTCTCTGTACTTCCCACCAGCATCTTTCTTATTACCTTATTACAATCCTTGTGTTTTACCAAGCACAGTATTTTGCATACACTCTCCCCTGGGTGTGCACAATTTTCCGTCTTTATCATTCATGGTGTAGTGGCACAAAATAGGTCATCAACTTTGAACCTTCTTCAGATGGTGGCTCAAGCCAGTCGATGTGCCTCTCACAATGTGACACCCATGACCCAAAACAACATTCAAGATAGAATCTGGTGGTCAACCGGGAAAGTCACCACCTCCTTCTCCCACCGGGAACTGCCCGTCTATTCACTCCACCTGCGTTCACCTTAGCAGCCAGCCCTGGCCTTTTGGTGTGAGGACACCCAAGACCTTGTGCAGGAGACCTGTGATCCAGCCCCAGTTCCCACCACCCCGCATTTATCTGCACACACGTCTTCACATTTATCCCTATTAAACTGTTGCTTGGTTTCTTGCCGGAGGCAGCAGCCTGTTGATAGAGGTGATTTTTGAAGCACAAATCTGCGGTTTGATATAAGTCTCTTTGATTTGCACTTTAGTGGTAAAGACAACAGGAGACCAAACAGCGTTCAGCCACAGGGGGAAGGGGGCCTCCAGGAAGCTGTTCCTGGCCCTGGGTCTCCATGGAGAAGCCACAGGTGCTAATGGGCGGTTGCTACATACGCAGTTTGTGCCCTTCGCTTCTTTCTAGAGCGCCCCGAGATTCTCTTCGCCTACACTGGGCCTCCTCAGCTCTCCCAGATAGCGGACACTTAAAGCAGCAGCACTGCAACAAGGGGGCCGGGGTCTCCATGCAGCCTGCGCCAGAGCTAGCGGCCCCCAGCAGGCAGCTCCTTGCCCGCGCTCCTGAGATGCCTGGGCCCCCCTCTGGAGGCTCCCTTCCCCCACTGCAAGAGCTGTCCCCCAGCCCCCCGCGAGCGGTGCGTGGGCACAGACCCCGCTCCCAGGCTGGGGTCAACAGCCTTGGAGGCTCTCTGCGGAGACGCGGCAAGGGGCCCCCCCGGCGCGGGCAGATCGGGCGGACTCCGGGAGGCGCTGGCGGGGCGTGGGCACGGCGGCGGAGGGGAGGGCTGCGCCGCCCCAGGACGGGCCCAAGCCGCTGGGGGAGCTGCGTCTCTCCGAGCCCCGGGTCGGGAAGGGTGGTCCCGACGCGGGGGTCGTGGCGGCTAGCTGGGCCCGCGCTCCGGAGCTGGAGGTGGGCCGGCTCGTACCTGATCTTGAAGTCGCGGTTATAAATGGTCCGCAGCCGCTCGCGATCTGTCTCCATGTCCAGTCCCCGAACGACCAGGAAACTCTCGAAGGATTGGCCCGTCTCCCGGAGCTGCCTGCAGCTGAACTTGCTGGGCATCGCGGCGGTGGCTGCGGCCCAAGCAGGAGGGTCCGTGGAAATGAAACTGAAAGTCGCCGCCGAGGCTGGAAGTTGGCGGCCCTGGGGTGAGGATGCAGCGGAGGGAAGCGCCCCCCACTCGGACCCCAGAGTCCGCAGGCTCCCTTCTTCCCACCAGGCTTCCCTCCACCGTTCTTTTCCTACCTGAGCCTTCCCTTCGGTCTCTTCGTCCTATCCCCTCCCCCCTCTTCGCATTAACTCTTTCCTAAGGAGTCTGACCCCTCCCTCAGGGCCCTCCCCTTACCCTGAGCTCCCTCCCCTGGCCTCCAGCCAGTATAAAAACGTGGCTACCGCCTGGGGCCCCCTGAACCGCCCAAGGACCTCCGCACCACAGCCAGGGCGACTCCCACGCTCACCCTGCTGAGCCTCGGGGCTTATTGGAAAGCTGGGGAGCAAAGGGCGGGACAGGGGCCTGGGTCAGCTGTAGCCAGACTTGGGCAGCTAGTCCAGCACCTCCCCCAGACTGCGAAGGACAGAAACCCTGGAAGAAAGCGGGCTGCACGCCCCCTCCCCCATTTTCCTTTCAGACGGAAGGAGGAAGGCAAGAGTCAAGAAGTTTGGGAGAAAGAACTAAGTGTCTCGGAGATAGAGGTGTGTACGTGTGGGAGGGAGGGACGAGGGGCCCCGCCAGGACCCAGTCTGCAGAGTGGTTACTTTCTCCCGCGCACAGGCTTCTTTATTGTGGAAAGGCTGCTGAGACCTAGCCTTGAGCTACATATTTGGGCACTTAACTGCACTCCAATTATGCAGTGCTCTTTTACTGTTAATAAGTGAGTTGCCCCAGTCATCAAAATACTAGCTTCTTGAGAGCAAGGGACTGCTAGGTTAGGCAGTAAATGGTTAACAGCCACAGCATCAGCACCAGGAAGAGACCTGCAGGCTTCCAAAGAAACCCCAAGGGGGTGGGGCTACCACAAAAACAAACAGAACCAGGGTTTTGCATGTTTGTTCTTCAGAAGGAACAAACAAAAACACAGTAGAATGGGACAAAGATGGGTAGTATTTTTAAAATGTTTAGGTCGAATCTACCAGAATTCCAAGTAGATCACAGCTAAGTGTTCTCCGAAGCACATCCCTATAGGCGGCCACACACCCTTGTAAGCTGGTGGGAGGGATGGCCAGCACCTAGGACGCTCCAGCTGGGCTACCTCCTCCTGCCTTCCTTGCCACCAACCAACTGGTCAGGAGAGGACAGTGGGACCCAAAGCTCCAGGAAAACAGAGCACAGGGAAACCTGATGTCCTAGAAATTGATCATCCCAGGTAGAGGGAGAAATGGGGACTGTAGCCAAAATATTTTACCACTTTTCTCCCCCAGTTACTCGACGAGGTTCCAGAGAGGAGGAGTTCCTACAAAATTCTTTCACTTACACTTCCAAAAATGTACCATCCACTATACCAAAGCATTTGGATTGCAAATCCATGTTCCCATTATTCCTAAACATATACCCTGCCCCCCTTCTCTAGTGAAACCGATCTCCTCATGGCTGCAAAACACATAAACAGCTGTAGTATAGTAAAAACCTGAAAATGCCATGCACAATGTAACTTCTCTAGACTAGTTTCATCTAGACTAGAAAAGCTACTTCACAGGGCAACCTAATTTTTACTCTCATACGTTCTGTTCTGTTCTAGAAGTCTTGGATGGTCCTCCCAACTTTCACATTTGAGGTCTCACTTCCTTGAAGCAAGGCTGCCTTAAATCTATTTGTACTTAACCTGATTTCAGGGGCTCAGGTTGCAGCCATTGTAGCACAGGGGTTAAGCTGCCCCCTGTAATGCCAGCATCCCATATAGCAGTTTTGGTTGCTCCATTTCCAATCATGCTCCCTGCTGATGCACCTGGGAAAGCAGCTAAGGATGGCCCAAGTGCTTGGGCTCCTGTACCCTTGTGGTAAACCTGGATGGAGTTCCTGGCTCCTGGCTTCCTCCTGGCACAACTCCAGCTGTCACAAGCACATGGGGAGTGAACCAGTGGATGGAAGACCTTTCTAACTCTGCCTTTGAAAAAAAAAAAAAATCTGATTTCATAAGGCTAATTGTAGTATGGGTCCTAAGAGCACTGAAAGCAGAAGTTAAATTTGGCTAATAGCATTACTGGAATAAGCCTACCTATAATCTCCCAAGATAACTACTTTGCTGAGCTCTTTTATTGTCTATTTGTTATATTCTCCTTACTCCAGTTACTTGGCTTCTATAATTAGGCAGGAGTGTTCTCTAGTTTTATGTACTCCCTGAGACAACAAATGGCGCTAAACCAAAATACTGAAATTGGTCATTCTACCAGACCACAGGAGAGGCTGCAGCTGGTACAGTTAATCTGTAGTTTGCAGATTCTGTATTTACAAATTCACTTACTAAAATTTATCTGTAATCCCCAAATCAATATTTGCAGTGCTTCTGTGGTCCTTAATGGACATGCACTAAGTGATGAAACATTTAAGTTACCCAATGTGCATGTTCCCAGCTGAGGTGGAGCCCTGCAATGCTCTTGTTCTAGCTCTCATATTCAAAGAAGTTCACTTTCTGAGATTCTCTTGGCGCCTTTTTTTGCATCTTTATGCTTTTTGCTGGTGATTTCACTGCTTAAAATGGTCCCCAACTGTAATGGTCAAGTGTGCGCTGGTGTTCTACACACAAGAATGCTTTCCAGAGAAAATTCCTGATCAACTTTCCTCGGGCATGAGTGATAGCACTGATCCATTCAGTGCTCATAAGGACTTTACAGAACGTTACTACCCTGAAAGAGAATTAACTGTATATCCTTATACTTGTACTGCACTTTGACACCTTGGATTTGAACAGGTATGAGATTGATTTTTGTACACCAACCTATTCTGTGTTCAAAGAATTTAACTTACTCTATAGGACCATCCAGTTTTGTTCTACATTTGCCAACCTTCCTTTCCTTTTTCATACAGTAAGGAACCCAACAACTAGAAGGTGATCACAAATAGCTGGCTTGCTTGGTAGTTCCATATAAATTTTATATTCATAAATATGGAGGTACCTCAAAATCTGTGGAAAATAGAATTAAAATTCGTTTTGACTTAAACAATTTTGAAATCCAAGCGCAGTTTTTGGTAATACACATTTTCCACAGACTTTATGAAGACCTTTGTATACATAGCTATCAGTATTTTGAGTCTGGAGATAAAATGCCAAGGTTTGCCAAGAATCTTAAACCTAGATGCATCCATCCTCGAAATTCTGAATTATAAAAGAGAATAGGCACTGGAATGAGGCAACCAACAAGGAGACAACCACTGAGGTTCAGATGAAACAGTTTTCAGCAGTGTCATTTCAAACCAAAAACAGGAGTAAGGCCCCATAGAGAACACCTTCCCATCTGGCTGGGAAACCTTTGCCCTAGCATACACAGGCTGACTTCAGCACCATGTGATGAAATGCACATAACACAAGCAACTATTCTGTTAAGGGAGGGCAAAAAGTCCCGCTGTCTGCAAAACCTGGCAAGGAAGGCTGACTGCCTCCCATTTATAAAAGTAACCAAGGGCTTTATTAGATAGCCATAAGTAAGCTTAAAATATAAAAGTCTGCCTGCCTAAGGAAATCAATCAGGAAGTCATGTTTTGGGGGGCCGGCACTGTGGTTAGCGGGTAAAACCATTAGCTGGTTCCAGTCCTGGCTGACCCACTTCTGATCCAGCTCTCTGCTATGGCCTGGGAAAGCAGAGGAAGATGGCCCAAGTCCTTGGGCCCCTGTAGCCATGTGGGAGACCTGGAAGAAGCTCCTGGCTCCTGATCGGCCAGCTCTGGCTGTTATGGCCATTTTGGGAGTGAATCAGAAGATGGAAGACCTCTCTCTCTGACTCTGCCTTTCTGTAACTCTGTTTTCAAATAAATAAATAAATCTTAAAAAAAAAAAAAAAGTTTTGGATCTTTTTGCATTACAAGTAGAGAACAGAGTACAGCTAAATATCCCTCAAACGGGTAGGAATTTGTACTGGCCTTGGATGGAGGGGAAAAGCACAGAAAGTCCCCAGGATAAAAGCCTTTCTCACATATAGTCTATTAGCTAAACCACTCCTGGTTTACTCTAGCATTTGGTTAACTCTAGCATTTAGAGTTAAGCTCATGTGAACTATTACCAAGGTCCAATATGCGGACTCCTTCATTTCAACTTCCTGCCTAGTGAATACAACCACTTGGGCCTTGCTTTCTGAGTAACAGGTAAAGAAGAAAATGAGATTTTTTCTTTTTTATATCAATGGAAATCTCAAAGCAAAACCACTGAATCATTGGTAGCCTTTGAATGAAGATAAGTATGATCCAGAGAAACACTGCTTACATTGAAAAAAGTTATTCTTTGCAAGTCACTGGATATTTTCTGAGTCTACAACAGGTGACAGTAGGAACCAATTTCAGAAACCCTGAACATTCTCAAAAAACAAGATCAAATGCAGTTAAATATCTTACCTTGAGAACAAAGACTGAAGAGATGGGTCAAAAAGGAGACTCAAGACAATTTTAGAACAAAACAGGTATATTTCTATTGGACTACCTGATACAGAAGATAGTGTGGTATGGATGGATAGTATGAATAACAAAAAATACAAATATCTTTTATTTGAAATAAACAAAAATGCTTACACAGCTCAATGGATCACTTGGAAACAAACTCTTGCTTGACGGTATTTCTGAGCAAAAACAACGCTGAAGCACAAACACCCTTCTTTTTTTTACATGTATTTGGAGACAGGTAGGAAGACACTACTTGGTTTCCTAAAAAACTGACCTTCCCTTAAGGCCTGGTCATAGCAGTGTAAACAATGTAAATGAGTCCACCGTTATATCAGTTGTCATATCATATCTATGTTACCTGTGTACTCTGAGATCATACACACACCTGCCAATACACCTGGGAAGGTTGCTAGATCACAGTTACATTTGTGTTCTTGGCAGGCAGGACTGAGGAAAAGTAATCTGAAACAAGTATTACATCCTATTTAGAAGAAATCACTAGTATTCCCTTAAATAACAGGTTACAATAGAAAGATACTGCCTGGAAGTTATCCTTTTCACTTTGGTTCATTTTTCATGTTTGTGAATTACGCAGTTGATTCATTTGCTTATAGTACAATCCTGCCACAAAGTATTAAAGCACAAGATAACTATTATCCTTCAATATCTGCATTTTTCAAGTTTTATACTCTATTATATCCACAGTAGGTCAGCAGTTCTTCAATAAAAAAAAACATAAATGGGTAAAACTGTTCTAAAAATGCAGATGTCTATAACTACAATGGGACTAGCTGGAAAGGAGACAATGAGCGAAGAGGAAACAAAGGAAACAAGTTCATGTGCAGGGAATGTGGTTCAAGTCTTTGGATTTAAAAACAAGTTCCCCAGAGAAGCTGGCTATAATGGAATTTCCAGAAAACCTTCTTTGCCCCTCAAAAAGGATCTGAAAAGCCCCAATTCAAACTTTTGCAAACTACCATTATGAGATGCTGTAAATGATCAACGCAGTCAGAAGGAGAAGGACGAATGTGTCTTCCGTTTAACTAGAGTTTGTAGCGTAGCCTCTTAAGCTGTTGGTGGATCAGAAAAAACCACTGAAGTACCAGGTACCAGAGTGCTTTGAAGGACAGGGGTAAAAAAGTACTGAACATATTATCTGTCTAAATCAGTAACAGGGCTTCATGGCTAAGAAAATTTTCTAAACAGTAAAATGACTTCAGGATAGATTTCTCTCTCCAACATTAAATGTAGGGGGAAAAAAGATTTACAAGTAGATATAGTGGTAACAGAAAATTACAAGGCAGAGAACACAAAAGAAATTAAGACAATGCTGTAGGTTCAACAGTACTTCAAAAACTGTTAACTTTGAAAGCCCTAGCAAAATATCACTCTTGTTTATAAACCACTTATTTATCATATGACCACACGTTGAATCCTTTTTGTTCCACATACTGAAGAATCTACAGTCAGCCTTTAAGCATTCTGCATTTCTTTGCCAATCTTGTAGCTGAGTATCTTGTTCCAGTCGATTTTGGTGCGGGTAACTGGAAGTTGCCGGCGCAAGGCCTTGAATGTGGTGTCTGACATGGTTTGATAGTTTTCACTAATTGCTGTCTGTAACAGATAATTGAAGATGAGTTGCTTGAACAGAGACAGTGTAGGCTATGAATAGGAAAGTAACTCTAGGCAAAGGACATGCTTGAGTACCATACAAAGGCAGACAAGAGTCAAGAAGCTCACCTATGTTAGTTTGAAACCTGAGATATACAATCCCTTTCAAAACCCTTATTGTTACGTATAATGTCCAATTGTTAGATCTGCAGTCTCCACACTTAGTAGCACTGAATAGCATGTGCAATTATGTTAAAGGACACAGAGAAGTCTAACAAAATATGTTAACAGCAAACTAATAAGGTACTAGGTCTGGAAAAATTAGTTTAAGATCTTCTTACCTGATATTCATTTTCTGCATTCTCTATGATTTTAATAAACTCCTTGGCAGTTTGTATTTCATTCTAATGAAGGGAAGAGGGGAAAACAAGAATTTTTAAAAATGTGTAAGCAGTGAAGAAAAATATATTAAAAAGTCAGTCCATCTTAACATTTGTATAACAATTTCTAGTTTATTAAGTGTTTCTATGCACATTACTTCCTTTTGATTATCACAAAAACCTGTGAAGTAAATAGATCATCATCATCTCCATTTTGCGGGATGAAAAACTAGAACTCTCTTAAGTAACGTGACGAAAACCATGGAGCTTTAGAATAATAAAGATGGGCTCTGAATCTAGGTCTTTGACAGAACACTCATGCTCTTTCCACTCTGCCACAGGATGCTGAAAAGACATCAATATCATGTCTTGAAATCCTGATACTTTAAAAGTATTCTTGTATAAGATGACATGAACAATGTCCTCAGACGTGTCAGCTATACAGGTAAGCTCAAATATTCCTTTATTTTTCAGTTATAATGTTAAGCCAGCTAATTACATTTTATATTACATGATCTAGGTACAAAATGAAATATGCTCTTCAATTTACCATTAAATACAATGAACTAAAGAAGATAAGGTTTAATGCTTGAGAGTAATAGTCCCAAGACTGACTGTGAAGAGGTCAAAACAGTTTTCTATTTTCATAATAAAACTAAGACAAAGTTATCTGCTTTTTTTACTCTCATGCTTGTACAACACAGTTTCCTAGAAGCTACATGATGTGTAGTTACTTTATCACTTTGAGGGTTAATGGAATATACAAAGCAGATATGAAAATCTAGCTGTATTGAGGCTGGTGCAGTGGCTCACTTCGTTAATCCTCCGCCTTGCAGCGCCAGTGTCCCATATGGGTGCCGGGTTCTAGTCCTTGTTGCTCCTCTTCCAGTCCAGCTCTCTGCTGTGGCCCAGGAGGGCAGTGGAGGATGGCCCAGGTCCTTGGGCCCTGCACCCGCATGGGATACCAGGAGGAAGCACCTGGCTCCTGGCTTCAGATCGGCGCTGTGCGCCGGCCATAGCAGCCATTTAGGGAGTGAACCAATGGAAGGAAGACCTTTCTCTCTGTCTCTCTCTCTTCACTGTCTATAGTTCTGTCAAATAAATTAAAAAAAAAAAAAAAAGAAAGAAAATCTAGCTGTGGTTGATTAAACCAGATACAATTTGTGAAAATGTAAACAAATGTCATTCTTCTCATCAAGGTTTTTTGGATGGGGGCTGGAAAATAGTTATTTTGATGGGGCTGGTGTTGTAGCACAGTGGATTAAGCTATCGCTTGTGATGATGATGCAAGCATTCTATATCAGTGAATATTGGTTTGCTTCTAATCCAGCTTGCAGCTAGTGCACCTGGGAAGGTAGCCCAAGTACTTGGGCACCTAATACCCATGTGGGAGACCAGAAAGGACTTTCTGGCTCCTGGCTTCATCCTGGCTTCATCCTAGCTGTTGTAGCCATTTGCAGGGGAGTGAACCAGTGGATGGAAGATCTTTCTGTCTTTCCAACCCTACCCACTCTGCCTTTCAAATAAATACACAAATAAATCTTAAAATAATTAATTTATTTATTTGAAAGTCACGAGTTTCACAGAGAAGGAGAGGCAGAGAGAAGTCCTCCATCTGCTGGTTCACTTCCTAACTGGCTACAATGGCTGGAACTGTGCCGATCCAAAGCCAGGAGCCAGGAGCTTCCTCCGAGTCTGCCCACATGGGTGCAGAGGCCCAATGACTTGGGCCATCTTCTACTGCTTTCCCAGGCCAAAGCAGAGAGCTGGATCAGAAGTGGAGCAGCCAGGACTTGACCTGGCACCTATATGCAGGAGGTTTCTTTACCTGCTATGCTACAGTGCTGGCCCCAAGCTTATTATTTTTAATTAACAAATCTTTTAGTATTTCTCAGTTTAAATTTTTTAAAAGATTTATTTATTTATTTCAAAGGCAGAGTTACACAGAGAGAAGGAGAAGAAGAGAGGGTGAGAGGGGGAGAGAGGGAAAGAGGAGGAAAGAGGGGAAGAGAGGGAGAGAGAGAGAGGCAAGCAGAGAGAGACAGAGAGAGATATTTTCTATCTGCTGGTTCATTCCCCAATTGGCTACAATGGCCAAGTCTGGGTCAAGCCGAAGCCAGGAGATTCATCTGGGTCTCCTATGTGGGTGCAAGGGCCCAAAGACTTGGGCTATTTTTCAGTGTTTTCCTAGGCACATTAGCAGGGAGCTGGATCAGAAGGGGAGCATCCAGGACTCAAACTTGTGCCCATATGGGATACAGGCATTGCAGGCAGTGGCTTAACCCTTTATGCCAACACTGGTCCCTCATTTTTAGTTTTTAATCAGGCATGTTGATA